ATAGAGCTCTGAAGAATAAAGGTGAAAATATTTACAAGAATGAAAGGGTTAGATTCTAGCTGTAAAGCAATGATGAAACATTAACCACCACCACCACAACAACAAAAAACTACTAGCAAAGCATTTATTTGAATCTGTTATTCATGGGAACTAAGAAGCTCAGAGAAGACTAGTAGTCAAAAGATTTCCAAGATCCAACACTTACTTACAAGTCTATGCTTGAGATTCCTCAAGTACAAAAATTGAATGTAACGTGTGTGTTGCTCTTAAATGTGTTGTTCTGTGAAAGTAAGAGGGCTTCCATTAGAAACAAAGTAAATGTAGTTTAGTGCAGGTAAATCATTCTGGATGTACTAGCAATACTACCATTATGTAATCAGTCTCTTCAAGAGCATGGAAAGACAGGTTTGTGATTATATTTTGTGGTTTGCGTGGCCCATAAAGCCCTTAGTTAAATCCCCAGGCCTAAAATAAATAAACAAGCAACACATAAAAAGCATGGATGTTAGCTCTGGCATGGAAGCTGTTGCCCTATCTAAATTTAGCTAGAAACAGAGGCCTCATCACTTTCTTATAACAATACAGGGATTAAGAGTCTTGAAATTATTATACAGTGATATAAATGAGAAGTTGTAATGATACAGACATGACTCAGTTGATTATATATTTGACCACAGTACCAAGTGTCAGCTTCGAAGTCCTATTATCCCAGAGTGACTCTTACCACTGCATTTGAAAGCTAAGCAAGTTCCTTCTTTACTTGAGCAGCTATCTTCTGAGATGGTTCCGTGATAATCTCCGTCTTGGTATTTATGCTCCCTTGCTGAACCCCTCTGATTGCATCAGAATTGCTTTACCACCAACATCACAGAGCTGAGACTCAGTTTCATTCTAAGGAAAGGCCCATGTGGGGTTAGAGGCAACAGAGATTTCTAGCTAACTGCCATAGAGTAGGATTTTTTCAGAGCCAACCAAGATTTCAGAGGACATCTCAATGGAACATCATGGGACATCCTGATTCAGAGTTCTAAGCTAAGCCATACCCAAATGTCTGATCCTTAGATCAGGAATTTTATTGTTGTTATTTTAGGCTTTGGGGTATATTATTCAGAGATTGATAAGTAAACTCCTTAAAGTTTTATTTATCTTCTGAGTTATTTTAAGGATTAAATGAAAAATATACTAAAAGCTCTTGGCCCAATACATGGTACTTGGTGAATATGCATTGAATGTGTGTTACTTACTACATCCTCACATGTCTTATTTCCCACAAACAAGCTGCTTCTAGAAATTATTTATAGCCACCTTCTCCCAGGGCCTTAGTACTTCAAGTCATAAAATTGAAAGTACACTGAATAAGTTCCAGTCAGTCCTTTCATGTTATCTCTCTAACCATTACTGGGCAAACAATCTGCTCTTTTTTTTCTCTGTCTTTCTGTGTCTGTCTCTGTCCTTCTGTCTCTCTCTTCTCTCTTATATCTTTTTCAGGAAAACAGGCAAAGATTTTTAAGAGAGAGAAAGGTGAGGCACATGCTACAGGTAGGGAATCAAAAGCCAAAATTGCTGGTCTGAAAAAGACCAATCAGAGATGACAAAAATACTCACAAAGGTTGACAATAGTTAAATGAGCTAGCTGCAATCAACCCTAGCTTTTACAGAGCACACTATTTAGAAATTGTCATCTGACATATACAAAGCTTTCATTCAACCTTATTTCAATGCTTTTCAACTGGGAATTGATCCTTGACTTTCTCAGGCAAACCTCATAGATGTTATCTTTTCTGTCTCAGGTTATTCTTCTCTCCTCACTTTTGGGTGAGCAGTCCTTACTGCTCATTTTTCTTTTATTTCTGATGAGTTGGTAAGCAGTCAAATTTCCTATGCACTGAAAAGAGGTATTGAGGAAATTTACTGCTAAACCAAAGAAAAGAACAAAAAAGAAGAAAGATACTTCTATTCCATAAAAATTCAATAATAAAACTATTTGACAATCAAATAGTTCAAGTCTCAGCATATTATATCATGTAAAAGAGGTAGTGATCACAAACATTGAAGCAGAAGGTTTTATTGCCATTAAGCCATGAAAATTTCTGTAGCTTCTGATGAGTACAGCATATTTTTAATATATTTTACCGCTGATTCTCTGACAAAATGAGATGTTTCAATATGTAATATCTCTGTATAATAAGTAAATATAAAACAAAACACAATCCATTGTTACATTTAAAGAAATGGTAAATTTTTAAGTTTTTCTTGGACAAATGCTGAGTTTTTATGCTAACCTTTGACTTCAAAGAGTTTTTATCTAAAAAAGTAGATAACATAAACCACTCCCTTTCTCACCATTCATGTTCTTGTGCATCTAGCTTCGCTCAAGTCATCACTTCCATATGGAAACAATTTTCTCTTAAAGTACCCTCTAGGGGGAAAACTTGGGTTTGTTCCTTCCTGGAACTCTGTAGTTCCTTTCAGCTGTTTTGTTCTTGTTTTCCACATAATCTATGTCTTTGTTTTTCTATCAAACCTCCCTCCTCTTTCTTCTTCCTCTTGTTACTCCCTTTCTCCTTCCCTTTATATTTCCTCCCCCTCCCTCCATTCTTTTCCTTTCTTCCTTGCCTATAATTATTTGGTGTTAACTGTAGATGGGCAATATGGATGGCATCTCTTGAGGGAAGACTATGAATTTCCTGTAAGAATTACTTATGGTAGCACAGTGCAGGAACCCAGGAATGATATAGTTGGTTTAGTGAAAATACTGCACTCATGATCTTTCATCACTCTGTGGTATCTTACAGTAAGGCAGAAATTCAAACAAAATGACTTTTCTTTTCTATATAAACATATAAACATGAAAATTCAGAAATACCAGAAAGAGAAATGCTAAATGTAAATAAGCCCCCATGAAACCACATTTCCATCCAGTTGCCCAAGAGGGGCCTCCTTAGCCAACTCCTTCTTTACTTCCTTACATTGGACTAGTTACTAAAGTTTAATTGTTCAGATTTCTCACTGGTTTATGGCCAACAAATTGTGATCTGCACGATAAGTGTCCGTTCTGAACCTCTGTCTTTGCTTCCTCTTCTGGCCTTCCCATATCATTCCCAACAGGCTCCCGCCCATGCTCAGTATTATCTAGTAACTCTACAACATCTACAGGTTATAATCTGACTCCTCCTGCTTCTCATCTTTGACTCCAGAGAGGAGGTCCCAGAGAATCCTTTAGATTCCCACAATAGAAGATACAGTGTTTATCATAAAAACCATTCATGTTTCTTCTCATCCAGCTTCTCTGTAAAAGAACCCTCTTATGAGACTTCTTCCTTAAATTTTCCCTGTAGAGGGTCTATTCATGCCCAGGGCCCTCTGCTGAAGCTTCTCTAACTTGTATTCTGAGAAGGAAAGCCTCCTCTGAAGAACTTTCTGGCAATGATGCTGATAGAGAAATGGTCAAGACAACACCTCACCAGTGTGTATACCTACCCAACAAAAGAAAATCTCTATAACTAACTGGAGCTAACTGGACCTTCCACAGAAGGTCCATGACAGAGCCCTAGGCCATTCACTGCCTATCTCAAATGCCTCATCAAAGTTCCACATTCTTTCCAATTTCCCTTAAGGAAAGATGTGATTATTAGTTTCACCCACAACCTTCCAATGATGCAGTAATGCCTCAAGGATGTTTTTCGCTGTCAAGATTACTTTGGTGTGTGTATGTACATTTGTATACTTTGTTGTAGTGTACATATACACATATGTATCAAATCAGGTTTGTTTGAATATTCCCAGCAGAACTACAAACATTTTGAGAGCAAAGACCTGTCTATGTACAAGATTTGATCTTTGTATTTGCTCCAGCTACTTGGAATATAATATATGTCTGGTAAATATTTATTGATTAGATAAATCACAAAGTTTTGCTATGGGTTGTTTAAATTTATGAAAGTATCATTTTGTGAAAAAAGTTACAATTTAACAATTTATAAGGGAGAGTCAAGTAGAAATGGGCTGGCATCTGCCATTTAGTAGTCTAAGTGGTAGTTAACTATTGTTTTCTTTAACTGAATGCCGTTGACAGTATGTCATCCTGTTCAGTTATTTAATTTTTGGCACCTTTGCCCCCTCATGAAATTGCAGGGCAAACATGTTTTTGATAGCCTTACACACCAAATCTAAATTGTTGTCTTGAAATCTGGGTAAAATCCCTTGAGGATGCAGGCACTGAGTATATTTCCTGGTTGACTAACCCATCCAGAGACAATGTTTCAGTTAGCTGACTAATTTAGAGTATATGTAATACTCAGCCGAAAATATTTCAATGAAGGGCCAGAGGACAGCCAAACTATGTATCCTAGTTTGTATCCAAGTGTGCATTCCATTATCTGAGTGCTTTATGTTAAAACCTATAGGTGATTTTAAATGAGAAAATCCAGTAAAACATTAAGAATCCAGATCTCTCAGTGTATTTTCACACATCAGCTTTCTAGTTTAGCTCAAATATTACTAAAGGGATCCAGTAGTGACTTCCCTGTACCTGATCCTCCAACTGATGAGTTCTCATCATGCCTGAAGGAAAACAAAAATTAAAAACAAACAAAAATGGTTTGCCCATGTGTTGTATTTTCTCAAAATGACATTTGGCTGCCTTAATTTCTTGTTTTTCCTCTCCCCTTATGACATTCATCTTGCTATGTTTCAGATCTGTCAGCATTGCTTTCTTGCCTTTGAACATTACAACTATAACCTTCTTGAAAAAAAAATAAAGTTGACTTTTTTTCAGTTAAAGTTAATAAGATGAAAGTAAACTTTCTCCTACTTTCAGGAAGTACGTATCTGCTGTACATAGGAAGACAGCAGTTTCAAAACTCACCGCCTAAATCTGAAGCCCAGAAACTCCTTCTCAGCTGTCCCCTGGCTCCCCAGCAAAACCCCTGCTCCCCTTGGTGTGGTCAGACCGCACCTGACCCCATCTCAAACCTTAAGAAATCTTGCAAACTTACTACCTTTGTTCAGCAGCACCACGGGCACAGTGATGACGGTGACCAGCGCCGCAGCCCCCAGCACTCCCAGGAGAACTTTCCATGGTGTCTGTAAGCAGGTTAGATCATGCCCAATTAGTGGGGCGCACTTGGTCCCTGTGAGTCAGAGGGTCAGGCCTGGGCTGCTCTAAAAGGAGCGGGCTGGCGGGCAGATGCGGGAGCATTGAGAGAGTGGGTGGGCTGGAAGGGTTTGGAGTTCTCCAAGGCGAGAGCCCTTGACCCTGTGGCCTCTGCCTCTCCACTTTAGTTCTTCTGAAGCCCAGTGAAAGTTCCCCTCTGCGTCTCAGGGGTGGTTCTTGGAGAGGTGACTTTAGGGCTCAGTGCCTGAGTCTCAGCAAGAAACCCCACAAGTGTGAAAGTGGAGCTAGAGCCAGGGGACGTCCCTCCACCTGTTAGTCTGGCCCTCGGGAGGAGGGGGAGAGGGGGAACTTCAGACTACAGCTAGTTCTCGATCCCCTGTCGCGAAACTGTGGGCACTTTGGGAACAGTTTGACCCAGAGGCCCTCCCACCGCGGACCCCTGGGGCTGGGGAAGTGCGGGGCGCGCGCTGCACTCACCTTCATTGTGGACGCTGTTCCCAACTGAGCTTTCGGAGCCGGAGCCGAGCGCAGGCCGGCAGAAGTGGCGAGGAGCCGCGGACACGGACGTCCTGCTCCGCCGCTCGGCGCCGCGGACTCACCCCGCGCTCGCCAAGTTTCGGCCCCGAGTTAAACATTAGTGAGCATCCCAGCCTGCTCAGTATAAAGGCTCCGCGGGCGAAGGCGCACCGGGGCTCCCGGACACTGCCATCCCCGCGGGGGGCGCCCGCGAGGCCAGCGGAGTGCGGGGCTGGGCAGAATCTGAAGCTCGCAGGGTGCAGGAAGTTCCAGAGACCAACCCGAGAGGGATTATGAGCCGCCCTGGGGAAGGGGAGCTGGCACCTGCTGGGGCAAGGGGAGCTGGCACCTGCGGATCTGAGTTTGGGAATGTGGGGGTGAGGGCTGGGGAAGGTTGAGAGGGACTGCGGTCCCCTCTTAACTGAAAGTACCTTGCATTTAGCTACTGTAGCCTGGGCCAAGGACTGAAGGCCCCGAGAGGGCATGGAGCTTGGCACCATCTTAACAGCTCACTGCTGTCGCTGTAGGTTCCTCTCTTGCTAGCGAAAGCTGTTTTGGGGGACAAGGAGTGGGTCTGTAAGAATGTCTGGAAGGCAAAGGGAAAGGCAAGGTGAACGTTTGAATGGTATTTACAGACTGAATAGCTGTATTTGCTCTTGGGAAATTTCCACTTATCTTGCACTTTATCTTCTCATCAAGATGCCAAAAATAATACCACCACCACCACTTATACCAAATTTACTTTTCCTAAGCACTACTCTAAGTATGTATTGTGTTTATAGAACAGGGAGACCACCTGCACAGGGAGACCGTAACTAACTGGCCCCAGTCCACCAGCTAAGAAGATGTGGAATCTGAACTAAGAGATCATGACATAACTACAAGTGTGGACTTCCAGTCTCCAGAACGGCAACAAACGAATTTCTTTTTATAAATCACCCAGTCTGTGGTATACTGTTACAGCTACACAAAATGTACTAAGAGACCTACCCATTTCCTAAATCTGCTTTCTGACCAACATCTCTCAAATCCATTCTTGCCTCCCTCTTCAAACATCCGAGAAAGTTGAGTCAATAGTAACTGGACCCCATGAGCTGGGTTTGTGGAGAGAGGCCATCCTGAGAGAAATACAGTGGAGAGGACCATTGCTGTCTTTTGCTGTTGGGAGTTTGGGCACTTACAATCGTGGCAGTAGTAAGCCTTATGCCCACCTTTGATCCTCAGCTCCACCCAAACCTGGAACTTCTCCCTGCCCTGGAGTTCTGCCCTACAGCTGGCCCCTACCTTTCTCCTCTCTCCGCTCAGACCCACCTGAACTCCCATCTACCTCACTTCCTATCCTCCAGACCCTCCGGCTACCTAGATAGCCGAGATTGCCATGTGCTCTTTTCTGGGGGAAATATGACTCCTTTAATAAACCTTGTGATAATCTTTCTCCTGTGCCTGCCTGCCTCCGCGTGGTCCCATGGGATGGATATGAAGGATCCTTTCAGCAGTCTTGTCTGATCTGGTGATAGAAATCCACTTAGTTAGGCCTGGACTTAACCTCCATGATTGCACTGTGTCCTTGAACATTAACCCAGCTCCTGGAGAGCCGAGAGAAGTTGGATGACAGCCATAGGACAGCTCATTGTGGTCGCTGGGCATTCCATGAGACAGAAATATCTTCACACTCTCTGCCCGTTTCAAGAGGTTTTCACATGCCTCCTCTCTCACATGTCACCAGTCTTTCAATACTGATGCTTCTAAGTTCTTCAGGAACCAGATGGCCAACACATTAACCATTGCTAATGAATCAGTGAAGATGTTCCATCACACCATCTCTTTTTCCATGGAAAATGGAAAAGCAGATGTGCTACTCAAAGTTCTGTCCATGAGTAAGGTCAATAAGAATTTCTTTGTACTATATTTCCAGTTATCGGTGGGGGAAGTGTAATGCAGCAGTCATCTACTGATGATAGTGACAGTTTTCTTCACAAAAGATCTGTTCTTCACTGTTTCCTGGTGACAAGAAAGTCCTCATGAGGCTACGTGTGTGTGTGTGTGTGTGTGTGTGTGTGTGTGTGTGTGTGTGTGTGACATTAACAAAGTAGGAGAACCAACATTTCTGCCTTGTGATATCTTGAACTTGTAGACCTGGTGGGCTCATCTGATATACATATAGGTACCATTTTTCACTTAATAAGAGAATGTTCTTTCACATGCCTAACTTTTACAGTGCAGTGGATCAGGGAAAACACTATTAGTTATGAGTAGTTAGACTATGTAGTTACTTGGTGTTGTGTGTTTGAATTGTATCCTCTATAAAAAGATGCACTGGAATCTTAACTCCCAGGATGGACCTTATTTGAGGTAATCAAGTTACTTTTTAAAAAACTTATTTATTTATTTTAACATTTAGTTTTGTTGTAAAGATGATCTATAGAGGGGTTACAGTTACATAAGTCAGATATTGAGTTCATTTCTTTTTGAACAGTATCACCCCCTCCCTCATTTTCTCCCAGGTTTTTCCCTCCCTCCCCCCAAGTTGCATAGTTCACAAGTTACAATGAGTCATTAGGATAGGCTCCAATTCCATGTGACTGGTATCCTTATTAAAAAGGGAAATATAGACATATGGAGCTATGTACCAAAGAATAGTATAAAGAGACACTAGGAAAAAAAATAGTTGTTATAAGCCAAGGAGAGACTTAGAGCACATCTTTCTTCCTCTCATAGGACCCAGCTGACTCCTTGATTTCATACTTCTAGCTTCCAGGACTTTGAAACAATAAAACTATATTATTTTAGCCATTTAGTTTGTGTTATTAGGATACAGCAGCCCTAGGCAACCAGTGGACTTTGTGTTCTATGATGATGTCTTCAGGTTCTCCTAGAGCTCAGAAGCAGAAGGATTATTTCAATTACAATAGTAAATAGTCAATGGCTATTATAGCCAGCCTTCAGGAATGCCCCTAAAGTTTTAGTGTCCTTATTATAACAATAGGTAACTATCAGTTAGCAAAGAGGGCATGACCTTTATTCTAAATCGCTAGGCATCTCTTTTGTGACTCTCTTTTATTGGGGCTTGCAAGAGGTTCCAAGCAGCTTCTGGATGTCACTTTTAATTCCATTGTATCGAATAGGTCATAAGATTTGAGTATCTGTGAAATTTGCATTACAGCCCAGACTTGTAGGCTTGTTTCTAAATAAGACAGTTTTATAGATGGCTGAGAAAATAGTTGGAAAATTACATCCAATTGTAATAGATAATCTCTCCAAAATCCAGAGCTCCTCTGAATTCCTGGTGGATTTGAAAGGTCTAGTGGCTTATCGTTCACATTCAAATTATTTTCTTATATGTTGCAATTCATTGAATCCACCAAAACTTTGCAAAGTTTGCTCCATAAATCATGTTATAAAGTTGCTTTATTTTTACCAGGTCTATGTAGTATAATACCATCAGTGTAAGGGACCTATGATATAAAGATAATCAACAGATATGGATATGATCAATGTCCTGGGAGACTATACTATGATAACAAAGAGTTTCCAAAGCCATGAAATAAGATGGTGAAATAATTCTGCTGCCTCTTCCAAGTGAGGGCAAATTATTTTAGATACTATTGATTAATTAAATTCAAGAATAATATGTGCAGGTTAATAGCCACAGAAGCTATTGACCACATTGCTTGATTAAGTTAAGTTACTACATCTCAAGTATCACCTCAGATTCACAATTTGCAGTTTTACTCTCTCCCTTTCTTCCTCCTTTCTTTCTTCCTTCCTCTATCTTTTCCTCCTTCCCTCCCCCCTACCCTTCTTCCTACTCTCCCTCCCTCCCTCTCTTCCTTCCTCCCTCCCTACCTCCCTTCCTTCCTTCCTTCCTTAACTCTTTTTTTGTAGGAGGACCCCTACTCAGGCAGGCAAGCCCACCTAGTCATCCGGAGTGACAGAGCCCACCACAACAAAATTGTTAACAAAGAAGCAACTTTATTGAGAAGGTTCCTACACTGACTGGTCAGGGCCACAGCACAAGCTCAGGAGCTGATACTGGGGCCCCCATTCTATGGTTTTTAAAGGCAAAATCCATGAGGTCAAGCCTGGTCACATGCAGGTGACCAATGGGATCGTAACACACACAAAGGATTGTACAGTCATACCAGACCACACACAGGTGGGAAATGAGGTTACAGTTTGTAATGGCTGTTTAAACCAGCCTATCACCTTGGTTTAAAATGGCACACAAATTTAGTGGGTAAGGCAGGGTCTACCTTTTGGTGGGCAAAAGGTGGAGTTTACCATAAGCATGTGCAAAAGGCAGGGTTTACCATAAGCAAGTGGTGTTGCCAATTGGAGCCAAATAACAACCTATATGTTTTATGAGTCAGTTTTTAACTCAACAATCAAGGGTGGGCTAGGTTATTCAGGGGAGGGGGACCAGATGCATTTTTTTTTCATTCTGGGAACTAGGCCCACACATCAAGTCTAAAATCCCTAAAACAAAGGCAAAGCTCAAAATAGAATCAGACCAGCTTGGGCCCCAACTCAGGGTCCACTCCACTTTCCCTCCCACTTTCCCTCCTTCTTTCCCTTTTTTTCTCTTTTTCTACCATTCTTTTCCTTCCATGTGTTTGCTCATCTGTAATAAAAACCATACACAACAGTAACCAATAACTGTCATTCGAATAAATGGAAAAAAAAAGATAAGTGAAGAACAGTTAACATCAAATTCATCTCTGTGTTCATGGAGGGCAGGAACTAGAATCTTGTTAATGATTGGCTTTTATCTGCAGGAGGAGACAGGGCAAGGAGGATGAAGATCAGATTCTATGCCTGGATCTCAACTCCAGAGGATGGATAAAACAGAACAAAGCTACTTTTTGTTGTTTGGTTTTTGTTTTAGTTTTCTTTTTTCTCATTGATCACCTGCTCTCCACCTTAGCTGGAAACTTTGATTCACTGCAGGAATGACTTTCTGCTACCCTACAGCCAAGGTCCACATATTACTTCCTTTTACTTCACATCAATGCTCACCTCTTCCAGGTTACCTTCAACATTCATTCTGTCTGCTTCTATATA